TTACTGTGTTTGAGTTACAATCAGATATTCAATATATAAACTTACGGACTAGTATTTCCTGGCTTTCCTGCCAAGTCTTTGACCTCGCGTATAAAGACAGTGAGCTGCGAGCTCTTCTTCTCAAACAATAACGATAGGCGAATATTGCCCTGAGTGTTTAATTCATTCAGCGTCATTTGACTACCATAGTCATATTGAGATGATGTCTATATAAAATAAGAATTAAAGTGCTTTTATAGGTTCTTTGGTACACTTACTCATTATTTATAGCTACTGGAATCTTATAAAAGCTTATAAAATTCTGAGAGGAAGCCTATTTCAATAATAAGATAACTATTCTTAAAATCTAATTTGAAATTTACTTGAGGTTTTTGTCATTCCTAGTAAATAGTCTACAACAACATAGGCATAAAACAGAATAATGTAATGATCTATAACCAAATCGTAACCATATTTGTACACAAAATGTCCTCAGTAAGAATAGAATTTAGTTGGTAATAAGAAAATTTTGGGTAAAATCTAATAGGCTATCCATATTTTCTCCACGGGCTCCAATGCACATAGTTATTTTTTAAAATATAAATGAAGAGAATGATTTCAGAAGGTACAAGACTGGAAGTTGCTCACTATATGGATATCGTTTTCGTCAATAATTCTGAAATATGTGTTGTTCTATAGTAATGCATGTAGAAAAAGCTTAAAAATATGAAAGCAATAATGGACCCATAACGTTTTTTAAATCAGAAATGTAGATCTACATCTTTGTTTTACAGAAAACCAAAGTCTTAAAGCATTTTTTTGAAGTTTTATGTATACATTTATGGCGTACGAACAAACGATCACGATTCTTTCAACTGAATACCCTAACGCTTCTCCAAAATTATTCGAGAACTGGTAGACCACCAGCCCACTATAACTTTAAGGCAAAGGAAAGGAAAGAGCATTTTATTATCTGCATACGTGCTTTATTTACATATTAGTTCGGCTCTCTTTCCAGCATCTTGGGTCATTCTAAGAAAACAACGTATTAAAAAATTAAATCCGGGGCGTAAAAACTGCGTCAAAATCTAGGAGAATTTTTAAATATATGCAATTAAGCGTGCAGGCTGATTTCTATAAAATATAACAAGTTATCCATTTAAAAATATGATGTAATGCCAATCAATTCTACTAAATCTTTAAAATTATTATACACTTTATAGCTTGTTCTTCATATATTATTATACAAGAATGAAAATAAATTAATATGAAAATAGTCAAAATTCAATAATTCAGAAAGTAAATGTGAAAGATTCTAAAAAAATAAAATAAACTAAGCTTTAAATAAAAACTGAAAATGATAGCATCTATACAAGCCTCTATCCTATTCAGTAGTATCCCTCTCTTATTTTCATTCATGTACTCTGTTCTCCTGCAAATTAGACAGATCGCATATTCTCTAATCCTCTTTCCTTTTTTCAACAGTCTGTTTATTCTTTTTTTTTTAAATTTTTATTTCTTTAAACTGCTACACTCTTTCTTTCTCCCTCCTTCCCAATTTTTTCTTTTTTAATCATCTTCACTAGTCTCTGTTCCTCTTTAATTTCATTACAAGTATTTTTGTATGCTCACTCTTGAATTTTTTCTGTTGAACTTCATAAATTTCGATAAGGCCTTATCTCAGCTGGTATAAAGAGGGATTCACTATCTCACTGTCTGGGAAATGATAAAACTTTACTCATTAATTTCTAAAATATTCGTGTAACACCTCTAGTGATTAAAAGAATGCGTTGTTATTACTTATAATAAATCTTTTACTTGCACACAAAAATTACAACTGTTTGAAGATGTGAAGAACAAGATGTTGTGGCCTCGGGTATGGTCGCAGTCTACTTTCGACAACTACTATGGCAGACTACTTCGGACTCTGTGCGTTCTACTTAGTCTCCCTGAACACAAGACCAAATTACGACGACGAGTTGAACCCACTTCTATTACAACTGTTTGTTGTGATCTTAGCCAAAAGATAAAGTTCCCTGAAGCAATGCTTAATTTTTTTCTTTCTATTCTTCCATTAGATAAATTCTGTTTGCATAGGCAAAAATGTTTTTAAAAACTAAACTCTAAAAAAATCATTTATATTTCTTCCTATGACATATCGTTTCTAAATTGAAAAACTAATAAAATAGCGAGAAGGGCCGCCAAACTAAAATTTTAAATGCTGGGGCATGATAAATTTTATTGAATATACACTTTAAAAGTATAAACTAGCCTTTGATATTAGGCGTAAATAACTATTTGAGAGTTGATGGATATGGATATTGTTGACGAAAAGCAATTTAATATATTGCAAAGGAACCCTGCAAAATAATGAGTTGTTAGTTGATTTTCATCAATCTAGCTAAGGATATAAAAGGAAAAATTTCAAGTTACCCACCTCCAGGCCAGTTTTCTTGGCTGCAACCACACTAGAAGATACTTCGGGTTTGATTTTAGATGTTGCAGATGCTCCGCTGACCTGTTCGATATTCTCGCTCTTTAACGACTGGAGACTTTCTGCATGGGAGCTTATATTGTCATCCTTGTAAGACACAGATACTGCTACTGCCTGTTTATTTTGATAAGCCTCAGTCATGATAAGGCTAGCAGGATCAACCTCTTCTGATAAGCTCTGTGATTCTTGCTGTATGCCTATGCTTTCTTGAACTTCGGATATCAAATTAGCTGAATTAAATCCATTGGTAGATATTAAGGACAAATTGGGCTTATTTTCAAGGCAGGTTTTCTGTTGATTCTGAAGCTGAGTTTCTTGAGCATCAGGCTCTAAAGATGGTGATTCTAAAGCTCTTATTTTATTTAGTTTCTGACTTTCAAATGAGTTAGAAAAACTCGATCTTACACGACTAAGATCATTTGATCTTCCATTTCCTTGCTGTTTCCGAAATTCAGTAGGGTTTACAAGCTCCACAGTGTTAGCGGAGCCTGACTCTCTTTCCTCATCCTGAACCGTTGTTCGAATAGCTGCGTTTGGCCCCCCAAGACTTTGCATATTTGCCTGGGTCGAGTGCTCTGGCTGATTCGGCATGAAAGGATGCCCAATTTCGCGAGTACTTTTAGTTTTTTGATCCTGTTTAGTCATCCTGACAGCTGCTGGTATAGTATGTCTCTCTGGGCGCTGCTCGGCACCCAATGTGGCTGGCTCCACAATGGCCGGGCGCCAGACCCTAATAACAAATTCAGGTCTTTGGTTGGGTCTGCCCTCAATATTTTCGTTATTGAAATTTCTTCTGAGGGGTAGATCTTTAGAAAGCTGTGGTTTGAACAAATGAGCAGAAACTTTAACTGATGAGGTGTTTGAAACAAATTTACAATATCTTGTGTGCTCTGCATGAACATTACACCTGAATTAATAGCCAAAATAATCCATGAATTAGCTTTGACTTGAAAGCTAAATCCAGCTAATATAAATTATGATATAGCAATGCTATTAAGTCATGTACCCTGAGGGTGTAAATCGATAAATGGGAGGGGATATATAAAAAACATCAGTTCATGATAGCCGTTCGTAATAAAACCAGCTCTTTAAGCATATGAAAAGCCTTAAATATGGTTTTAATGCCCTTCCAACAGGAACAAATGGCTAGCATTGCTCTAGCATAACATTCATTGCTGTTACAAGCAAACTGCTTCGAATCTTGGTTTATCTATGCTCCTAAGTATTATCGTCAACGAGGACAATAAACCGGAACATTAAAAAAAAACAAAATTATGGAACAAGATTTTCATAGCGAGTTTATACTGATAAATAGCCTATAATAAAGATGAATTACATCATAATATATCAAAATGGAAATAATGAAGGAAGATTGTTGATAGGCAACTGGCACCTAGTGATAGGCGTGAGGATAATCGAGGCAGAAATAGACACTTATTACAAGTAGCTCAAATATCATTGAGATGCTTGAAGATTCAATCAGTAATATGGAATATATATAAGTGCTACAACATAGCCTTGTTTGATTAGTGAAAAAAGTGATTTTTGACAGTGAGGTTACTCATCATGTCATATGTGTGAATCAAGAGCAAGTAAATTACCTGCTTATGGTCAGCTACGGAACCGATGACGACAGCTGCGTTAAAGTAAAAATTAGGGTTAATAAAATAAATATAATAAATTTAATGTGAGGTCAGATAAGTAAGACGAAGAAGCATGATTTATATGCGAATTTTGGTCTAGGACAGATTATTTCATGAGGATTTTAAAACCTTTATTTGTTAAAAAATAAGAGTTAACTGGCTTGGGAATCACAAATAGCTCCACGTTAGCCGAGTTTGCATTGCCCGATGAACCAGATTACCAAAATCCTGTCGCCTAATAAATATGATATGCGTTTAAAATATTAATACATGAGCTAACTGAGACCAAAGGCTGAGCCAAGACGATAACAAGCAAAGAAGTAACTTCCCAAATCCAAAATAAGAATAAAGACTGAATGTTTAAAATGCGGAGTAAACTATAAAAGATAAAAGTTTAAGGCTGAGGAGGTGGATCAAAACCTTAATCCAATAAGGACAGCTTTGCTTAGCCTGTAAGAATGATTTTGAGTCTCAATACAATTATATTCAGAATAGAGTTATTTGCCAGTTTTGTTTAAAAGGATAAAAGTATTCCAGATAATTGCCTTCATTAAAAATAGTCAATACACTTCCCAGTAATCAGTACTTTTTAAGTTGGTTCTTAACATAACACAAGCCAGTAACTTGTGCGACTGTGATGTCAAGGCTATTTCTAGATTCTGTCTCAATTTCTCAATGTCCATTATTTTAACTTCACATACTCACAGTTCGGACTTAGGAGCATGTTGGTTGGAATAGTTTTAAAAAAATAGTTTTGTAACTTCATAACATTAAAAAAAACAAGGAATAATGTTCGCTTGGGCAATAGATTGATCAGCCTCGGGTAACTGCATATGGAATGAGCTATGCGGATGCACCCAAACGGTACACCAGATGAAATATCCCGATAAGATCTAGTGCAGGTTCAGTTAAAATATGAGATAGATCGAAAGTTTTAGCAAAATGAATAAATCACACTATTCAGAAATATAGAAATTTGATTCAAATTGCGAGTGTAATACCTTAAAAGTAGCTTTGTGTATATACTCATGAAGGATTATCATTGATTACTTTTATCATCAAACTTATGAAAACTGTGCAAAGAAATATGGATTAAGCACCTTCTTTAACTATATTTAAGTCGAGTTCTGAAATAGCTTACCATCTCCTTCTGGTATTCTCTTGCTGAACGAACTATTTGAAGTGTAAGGAGCTGTATAGTCTTTTGAATTATAATTCTTCAAATCAGCCAATGCATCCTCGTTCCTATGATTCATTCGATTAGACAAAGTTATGCGAACATTTCCTTTTGCTGAATGCTTTCGTGTATACTTTTCTTCATTTAGTTGGCTATCTGTTCTCTCCATTTTCCTGATCTTTTCTCTACCCTCATTGTTGTTATTCTCATCTCCTTCCTCTAAACTTTCAAGCTCCTCTGTTCTTGGCATATCGGCCGACTTAGACAGCATTAAGCTTTTACTTGGGCCCCGATAAATACTAAAAGAATGTTGATGCTCAGGCATTTCGTTTGTGTCTAAAACCTCTTCAGGTAAACGATGGTGCAAGTTGGCCAAAGTAACTTGGGTATCTTTCTTATCCAAAGGCTCACAAGTACCCTCTGATGAATTAGAAGCATTAATGGTTTGGCATAATGTAGACGCATTAGCTTCTAGATTTTCACTTCCTAGACGTAGGAATTGACGATTGCGAGAACGACGAATTCGACTGTCTCGAAAGTGCAAGTTAAGGCTTCCTGGACTCAATCCCGTCTCCAAGGAACTCCTTGAGCTTTGGCTTTGTATATCCCGTGTTGGCGAGTTCGCAAATCCCTTAGGGGCACAGTAATCTGGGCTAGTGATGCCTCGAGTTCCACACTTAACCGACCTAAAGTCTGGCCCCAATGGCATGAGAGGTCTTTTTATTGGCACTGGACAGGCCTGGAAACCAGAACTGTTCGACTGCACTGGCGACATTGACTCTCCATCTTGACGGGTCTGAGAAGATTCTTTGGTTTTATCGATCAAATTCTGGGTGCTATCGTTGACTGAAGATGTTGCGGCCACCATATCTGTGTTTGGAAAGAATTCTTCAGATCCAAGATTATTTCTAGCATTAGATTGGTGGAGTTGTAGGCGGCGGCGCCAGATTACTGAACTAGTACGTGGGTTGACCCGAGGAGAGAAAACTTCTCCTTGTCGCGACTGTCTGGTCGGCTCTGTTATCAAAGGCTAAGACATAATGTAAGAAATAAGTTAGGAAAGTAGTTATAACCCAATTTTAGATTTAATTTTATAATAGCATTCCTTAGTTGAAAAAATTTTCTCCCTAATTCCATATCGAGTATGCTCCTTTAGTCTGCACCTTTATTTCATAGAAAGGCAAATAGGCCCAATAAGTTTTGAGGTGCTCTTGGCTAAAAGGTGATACTATTTGTGAGATCAATCTGCACATCAGAAAAAAAACAAGGCTAATCATAAACAATGTCACGAAAAAATATCTCCTTGATTTAGTAAAGTTGGAAATCTTTAAAAATGATCACAAATATGCTAGATAGACCTGTTTACTCAACTTTATTAATAATGTTTACTATAATTACAGCTCTAAATTCTCTTTTAACTTCCATTTTCAGAAATTCAATTATATACAATATATACTTTATAGATGAGTAACTCGATCCAGACATTCATATGTGCCCGTGTGTAAGTGTATACTGACTTTTAAACATCTTACAAATGTAAACAGTCTGGGACACTGATCCCTGCTCCATAACCTTACTAGTCTCGCCACCCAAGTTAGTAAATGTCGTTTAGTCGGGGAGGAAATTGCATGGTTTACGTCTTGTGTTTCCGACTAGAAGTGATTACTTCTGGGAACCATATAATCTCAAAACTTCGGTTCACTGTGAATAAGAAAGAAATTTAATAACCATAACAAGACAAACTTTGTTATTAAAAACAAAGAAACGTCTGGGAATAAACCAAGTCCAAGGTCAAAATCCGGAAATTATCATGGCAGAAGACTCCGGACAAGATGTTACATAGATCTCTCTGACAACAAGACAAAGTTGTGAAGACGAAGCTAAACCACTTCTATACAACTAAAGGAGACCGCCACCAAAATAAAGGTCGCATCTCAGTATTCATAATTTCGACTGAATATTGGACTATCATGGTCGATGAGAAGATGAATAGGTAATTATGTAGATATGTGCAAAGGTGGAGCTAGATAATCATTTAGTTGAGCCAGTAGGTAGGTAAGTAGCAAGCCAAATCGCAATAACTCTTTTGGTGGGCAGATATGTAGGTAGATTGGCATGCTGGCTGTTAGGCCAGGAGAAGCCTTTCAAATATATATATAGATAATTTGTTTGAAATACTAAAATTTTAAGAGTCTGCTAAATAGAAA